AATTCCAAGTTAATCATTCCTCCCCTGAAGCACTTCGTCTCGACCCACCATGCAAAAATAAGTTCCACATGGTTATCCCAAGCTAGCAGTGTGTGTGTGTGTGTGTGTGTGTGCAGCAGGCATTCTCAGACATGCTCTGACTTGCAATTACTTCTGCCCCGGTGCTCAATAACACTAATAGCTTTCAAATCTCTATGGCTTAGCTGGTCAACCTGCCTGAGAGGTCACACAGTTTTATCACCTGCATGTCAAAAGAAATATTACCCAAGATTAGATGGTTTAAAATGCACTGTGTGTTCTAACCCACACAGCAGCAGACCTACATATGCACTACACAATATAAGCACCTCGTGAGGCTTGGGCGCCGTGGAGATCAGATCCTAATTGGTCCACATGTTTGCAGTTTACTGAAGGGAAACACATCTTACCCCATATACATGCTTTGCCCCTGCTTTGGCCGCAAACATAGAAAGGATCCCAGTCCCGCTTCCAACATCCAGCACTATTTTATCCTTGAAGATGTGCTTGTTGTGGTACATGGAGTTCCTGTAGGTGAGTGTCCTCACTTCATCCTTCAACATTTCCTGGTTTGACATGTGAGAAAAATATAAGAAAGGAGCTGGCAACACGAACTCCTGCAGAAAGCGACAGTTTGTTGTGTGTAATTAAAAACACTGGCTGGACGTCAGTGGTCTGAATAGCTCCGATATCTACAGTGCAGCATTTACAAATAACACACAGCCTTCACCTAATCTTACTCTATTCCCCGTCAGCCCTGTGGTTCTGCATTCAAATCCATTGTTGGTGTTTCTGAATAAGCCCTGTGAGCTCGCAGGCTCAGCCTGTCTGCATCTCTTTTCTATCTCTACTTCTTTCACAGTGTGCGTGCATGTGTGAGTGCGAAGAATATTCAGAAATGACTAAAATACACCTGACCTACATTCCACAAATACATAAAAAAACACCCGACAGGTCACGCACGCAACATACTCTTTTTATACAGCCTCCGATGCTTCCTGCATCTGCTCTCTAAAATGCAGATGAACTCTGTGAACTCTGAGGAAACCGTGTGGCCATACACAATACACACTTTTAATGTTTTCAAAAGTTTCACCAGATTTAAAACTGCTCCAGGCAGTTCATCGCCATCCTACATCAATTAACAGCTGTACATAGAGCTTTGTGGGGCACCTGCAAAAACCTGAGTTTTCCTGGGAAACATTTCTGTCAGGGAACGTTAGGATTTTCTGTCCTTTGAAGGGATTGGCTGATTGTAGCTCCTGCCACGGCCTAAACCATCTATGACATAAAGCTCTCGGTTTAGAGGGCGGAGGGGGTCACTTCGAGAAAAAAAAAGAAGTCACACACAATCATCGTTAAACTATCGTGCCCACACACGGACGAACTGAGGCAAGAAGATGTCTAAAAGAGAAAAAGCAAGAAGAGCATATGAAATGATTCAGACAAGGATGATGCATAATCTAATAATTTTCTAAAATTAATTGCAAGTACACAAGGGCATTGCATGCTCTGGTTCTGTCAAATGTGCAGCAGCAATAATGGAAATTAAAATTCCCTGTTTATTAAAAAATGCTTTATTGATCCATAAAGCTGATCGATTAACATTTTCATCCACACTGCGATGACAAGGCGTACCTCATGAATGCCAAAGTGGGCATAGGAGTCAAAGTAGTAGTCTCGCGAGGTCATCTCCTCTGGGTTGAGAAACTTGGCCATCTTACCCCT